GGATATGGTTTTGTAGCCCTGAACTTGCTCTATCTATAGCAAAAAACCGCGCCTCTGCATCATGTACTAATCGAAAGTTATTAAAAAAATGGCCACCCGCCTTTTAATTTGAATTGGATATTAGTATGTATGTGTGGAGAAAAGCTGAAGAATTTTTCAGAATATAATCGATTAGAAGAACTATGGAAGCATTAACATTAACATTAGCTGAAAATGCATCGGCAAGCAAGACAAGCGATAGAGTGGTTGTGTATGTACTTATTTAAGAAGAATATATTTTCGTCAATTAGTTTTTGAGAACTCTTTTTCCAGTGGATTGCCGTAGATTCTAAGATTATCTACTTAACTGTCTACATTGGACAGGAGCGCAACCAGGATTTGGACTCTTATTCCATCTTTAAGAGAATCACAAAAAACTGTTGAGCTTACTTAGATTAAACGGTTTCTTGTTGGGTGTCAAATTTGTTAGTGTCGCACTTGTGAACGCTCCATTTCGTGGTTAAGCTTTGCAAAAATACATGGTGTCGATGCAGACACTCTTTTGACTGCAAAAATCAGCAAAAGATTTCGGTATTCCAGGTCAATGGAAGCTTCATCCAAATCCAAGTTGTAGGTAAGTAAAAAATTTTTTCAAGCGATCCAAAAAGATTTTATAAAAATTTAACCTTTTTATGATGATTTTATTACTCGAGAACAATTAGATGAGACAACTAGCAGATTATGCCAATCGAAAATTCACTTAAAGAAAATTTAAATTAAAGAAAACATATACAATAAGAATATACATCAATTTAATACCAAAGTAATTAGTGCATAGACAACAAGAAGAATATAAAGAAAATATATACAACAAGAAGTATGAAAAGAACAGAAAAAAACAAACTTTATGGTAATAAGGCTGTACGAACTTTTTTCGGACGACCTTTACTTTTTCTCTTACCCAATGATTCACAACGAGTTTTGTGCATAACGTGGTACATATTGAATAAAATGGCTAATCCAACTGAATGTTTTCACGTGTATTGCTTGGGGCCAATTGAACACGTACACGATGTAAGCGATGGCACTAACCAACATGATATCTGGTATGGCCAACATGATGTCTGGTATGGCACAAAATCGTCAAATGATGCCCATGGATCAGGTCGATACAAATTCAGCCAAACTGACGTTGTTGTAATCGCCGTGGATGATGGAACAACATAAAATGTATTAAACCAATATAAAATATTAGATAGCTTTATAACTGTTGCGATTTGACAAAGCCAATAAAATTTCCAAAAACTTCACCATTGACAATACATTTTCAAAAAACGTCAACTGTTGATATATTTCATTTGTCTTTCATATTTATTGTCTATGCACTAATTACTTTGGTATTAAATTGGTATATATTTTTAATTTAAATTTTCTTCAAGTGATTTGATGATCAAAAGTCTTATTTTTCGATGATAATTTCGCAATGAATAAATTTGGTGATCAAATGACACTCTTTTGCTGATCAAAACACATTTTTCCCATTGTTCTTTTATATTATGATTAACATTATAAGAGACTTTATTCAATTGTCTCTCTATTCGTTATAATCTTGCTAGTTTCCTATGTTATCTTTGATAAAATAATTGAATCCAGGGGTTGCCAAGTCGAGGTCTGGACTTGAAAGGTTTTTTCATGAACTTGGACTTGGGAATTTTGTTATCAAGTCCGTTTGAAGTCCAAGGGGTCAAAATCGTTTACATTCAACAACGGAATGAGTATAATCTGATACCTGATTTATTAATCTGTTTTTTGTCAAATATGCATCACTGTATGGATAAAATTTATTTACCCGTCATATATGATTATGACGTACTGTATGGCGCAGAAATATAAAGAACTTCGACTCGAACTTGGACTTAAGCTCCCATGGACTTGGACAATTTTTTTTAGAAAAATTTCTGTTGGACTTGGACTTGGTAGGACTTGGCCACCTCTGAATTGAATCAAACTGAACTGTCATTCACAAATCTATCATTTCTCTGAAATCAACTACTTTCCCTATAAAGACATTCGAAAGGACTAACCTTTGCTTGAATGAAAATGCTGTCTACATTACCGCCATGATGAACTTTTCTGCATACAGCAAAATATGTATGAATTGAAATACAACAAATATTGTGCCTAGTTTTTATTTTTTAAAAATAAAAATAACCGTAGCTAAATACTAGGTATATAGCATAAGATGTTGATAAAAGAGATAGTTGAATGAATACACTGTCAATAAGATAAAATAACAAATTAACATTTATTATTTTATTTTATTAGCAAAAATAGGTATCTAACCCTTGGAAGGGTTCTACCACCGTTGGGAACAATACATTTGAAAACACATTCGGAATGTTGAAATACACATAAAAAAGTAATCGTTCTTTCGCATACATACAATAGAGTAAAATCATATCGAATGATAAAGTCGTACATGTTAGAAAGAAAAAACTTCAAAATTCGAGTATAGAAACAGGTTTTATTTCAATTAATATATTGATGATTTTCTGATGGAATCCAACCTGTCGTTTGAACCTGTAATAGAGTCGAAATATTAGATGTTTCGATTTAGAAAATGTATTGTCAGCTTTTTTGAACTCACATCCATGGGCATTGAAGGTACACGTCGAATCATCTAGAAGAGAAAAAACAACTTTCGTCTATATTTAATTAAGCGTTAAACTATACTAATAGTGTATAACATACTTTTTCAAAGAATGAATTTAGTTTTGTCAAATTCTGTGAATCATAAAGAAGTTTTTTATCAGACAAACAATTCTGAAATACATAAAACAAATCAATGGTTTTGAACAATTAGCTTTTTCCATAATTACTAAAGCAATTTCATCACAATTGAATAGATTAGCAAATTTTGATTTACGATCAAATTCCGGTAGTAGCGATAACTGATTTAATTTGCCGCTTGGTGTTAACGTTTTTCCATTTGATATTTCATCTAGTTTTGTTCCGACAATTAATACTGGAATGTCAAAACCTTTCAACATATCTTCACAAAATTCAGTTGGACTAAATAAACAAGAAAGTATGACAAGAGAGTGTTTAAAAATAATGTATCATATATCAGGATTACTCACAAACTTTGTCGTGACTTGTATTGTATAACTTCAATGATCCAGTCTCTTAGATTGTCAAACGATTGTTTACTAGTCAAATCATGGACGAGAATAACACCTAAAATAATAAATTATTAAATAAATTATCGCAGTTAAACTGATAAGCATTTCTCTCTAGCTACTATCCTTATCATTTTTTTCCCTTATAATCGTACCATGTTAAAAAACACAACAAGTACCATGAAATTCGTCGTAAAACAGTGATCGTGTACTTTTATGATTGTAAAGACCACTGATATCATGAAATTCAATAAAATACAATTCATGACGATCGCGACGTTCGTATATCTAAATTAATAGAACGGTTATTCATTAAAAGAAGAGAATGATATGCAAAAATGTTTTTACTTTAATATCAATATTGCAGCCGATAGTTGGAGGTGGAGATTTTTGGCTATTCTGACAAACAGACTGAACAAATGCGCTTTTGCCAACTCCTAGAAATAAAGAAAAACTAAACATGGATCTACTTGGAGTTAGGGGTGGCACTTTTCCGTTCCTTTCCTAAGTAACGATAAAGCGGTATCTTTTATTTCAAAAGTAAAGAGTAAAGTATATACAATCCCTATATTTTCTTTCCTAAGAAAAAGTGAAGTGGGGAAAGTGGCACCTTTTCTTTTCGAAAAGAAAGAAAAGCGATATCTTTTCTTTTTTCAAGAAAAAGACTTTTTTTTGCACCTTTTAAGAAAGTCTTTTTCTTGAAAACAGAAAAGATATCGCTTTTCTTTCTTTTCGAAAAGAAAAGGTGCCACTTTCCCCACTTCACTTTTTCTTAGGAAAGAAAATATAGGGATTATATCTTTACTCTTTTTTGTTATAAAGAAAAAGAAAAACTTTTCTTTTGTTAATACAAAAAGAAGGTAGGAAAGAGAAAGTGCCATCCCTACTTGGAGTCCACTTTTTTACCAACCTGAATCGCCAATAACTAAACACACCAAAGTCGGAATATCAGAAGCCATTCTTTAAATATGCGTATATCTACAAATAATAATAATTATTATGAATTTCTTAGAAAAACTAATCACAATTTCTGCTAGACATCGATATATCATTTTGTGCCAATTAACTTTTTTTTATTATAAATTATAAAGAAAAACGTATAAACAATTTGTACTAACACCATATACATACTATTCTAATACTAAACAAAAAGTCAAAAATTATTATACTCTCCATAGTGTTTGTGATCGATTTAACTTTGTTAAAGAAAAATTTGTTGCTTGTTTGGATTTAGTTCGATTTATTTTCATTGGTTTTAAATTGATACGTTCTGGTTGTTTGACCATCGTTGTCTCGTCAAATAGTTCCATTATATCGGGTTTTAAACGTTTTTTTTGCAATAATTGATATTCTTCCTGTAATTTGAATAACTCATTATAACAAGTCTACAGGTTTTACTTTATCTAGGACAAGTTATTCATGTCTTAGTACCTCGGATCACTCGTCCACTAGTGTAGTCATTACCTTGTGTTGTGACGTACAATATAGTTCCTTCGATCAGTCTTCCTGGCTTTCCAGAAAACATAGTACGTGGACAGCAAGTATATATAGAAAGCTCGAGGAATTCGGAGAAAGAACTCTGTAAGCGTCAGACTAGCCTTCTAGTCAGAGCTGCAGTAGATGACTAGTAATGATATGAATATTCATACCAGTATCAAGCTATTGAAATCGACACTTGTTAGCATCCTACATTGGTAAAGGTAGCCGCAAGATGGGGTTCTTCTTCTTACTTTACTTTTCTACTAGCTTACCAAAAATTTCATTGCTTGTTTTCGTTTTTGTAATTCTTGTTGTTCAGCCATTGTCACAAGTTCATTGATATTGGGTTCTAAGTCAATTAATCCTGAATAAATTTTTTCATTTGAATAATTGAGCTTTTTATTTACCTAAACAAAGAGCAAAAGAAAACATTCTAGATTTGTAGTATTTCATAATGAAAAAATATACTTTTTCATTTATTTTGTCAACATGTGTCGTCGTTAAAACTGGTTCAAATTGTTCAAATCTTAAATTTTCCATTTGATCAATTATTTTTAATGTTGAATTACATACGGGTACAGTCAATTCAGACTGTTGTTGATATTTATTTAAGTCGTCACATGAACGACTCGATATTGGATAGAGTGTACGCTGATTTACTACAGGTTTTTTCAATGTTGATTTTAGGCGCTGATTCTGATTTGAGTCAGCCGAATTTGTTCGTAATAAAGCTGATGTTGCTGTGGTGGATGGTGGTTTACGTGACATTGAGCGAGGAATACCGTCTTCTGCGTCCATTTCTTTATACTGTAAAGTCTGAAACAGAAACACGAAAGAAAACTAAAAAACCAGTAACATTCCAAACTGTTATGCATGAACTGTCTAGTGATGATGTCTTCAAAGCAAGGAATTACAAATTTTAAGTCAAAAATTGCCGTTCTTTCATCGGTTAATTTCACACAAGGTGAAGAATATTCCAGAATTTAGTTGGAAAATAGTTGTTTTAAAATTAAGATTTAACCGTTATTTCAAGTCATTTTTGCTGAAGATCTTCGAAATACGTAGGAGGTTTTCTAACACGCCCTATGAACCGAAACAATATGATTAGAGCAATTATTGAATAATTTTTTTTTTTATAAAGAATGAATGTTGTTTACGTCTTCCAGTCTTTTTCAATCTAAATCCGTAGCAGATAACAAGTAAAATGAATAGTTATGTTTTCTAGTGATAGTCACTTACACTTTGTAAACAAGTTATGAAAAGATACAACTTACTAGATAAACAAATTTGAAATATATTACAAGGATAAAGCACCAAAAACACGACAAAACGTTTCAGCTTGAATTTTGTAATAATTTTAAAATAAAAATTGAATCAAATGAATTTAGTTCGAAAATAGAATCACTATATCACTACATCCTTCACCAGTTAAAAAATGTCATAGCAAGAAAGATAAACATAAAAGATTATGTAAATTAGAGAAAAATAATGCTTATCAGTAGAAGAAAAAAAGTGACTAATACATATTAATATAAATCCGATAAGATCAACACAAAATGTAGTAGCTCAATCACCGATGGTTACATAAATATGATCCATAAATAACGCCATTTGGACATCAGATTTTGACAAAGCTTTTAAATCGTGTGTAGTTAATTTGACATCAACTTTATTATAAATATTTGTCCATTCTGGATGATGTTTTAATTTTTCTGCTAAAAGTGCAACTCTTGTCATAAATCCAAACGCACTATTGAAATCATCAAATTTAAATGTTTTATTAATGGTATCTTGAACATCATTCAATGTCCAACCATTTTCAACTAATTCACGTAAACTTTGATCACGTTCATCGGCTTCTAATCTTACAGACATTTATAATGGCAGTTACAGCGAGCGATAATTGAAATATAAGACACAAACAACCCCGTATGCATAAAGACAAATTTACGACTACAAAAGAATTAATTAAAGAAATCATTCAAGCAACGAATAATTATTTCATGAAACTTAATGGAATAATTTTTTCCGTCACAAATGGGGACCAACAAAATTTTGAAAACAACAATAGAATTGCTGACTTACTAAATTGTGTTTTTATAAATTTAGCACTCAAAATCTGATTATTTTCTCTCTAATTTCTGCCTCAAAGCACTATTTTATGGAAGAGTTTCCGAAAACTAATAATAAAAATACCGTATTTGCATAATAAACAACAAATTCAACTCAATATTTACTTTTCTGCTACACTCTTCGACCATTCTGTACAGTATTTCTGGTGTACCCGAAAAAAAAGTAGAAAAGTAACTATACTTTCTACTCCACCAGTTTTTTCATTAATAGATCACCTTCCTTAGATAACACGTTGACAGTCAATTCACAAGACTATTTCTTACCGCTTGGCTAGGGAGTGACAGAAAGTAAAAGAGAAGAAAATAAAAATAATAAAAGATTTATTTGACTGGCCTAACGTTATGCCAGTGGTAAGTTCGAAATCAAAATCGTATAAAGCTGACATCTATAAGTTAAAAAGTTATAATCGAATGTATTCTTTGTAGAATTAAAATATATTCGGTTGCATCATATTCTGAAAAATATATTTTACTCTGGAAAATATACTCGACATGTCCGAGACAGTATTATTGGTAAGTTATTTGATCCATCATTTTCGTAACTGAAGGGGACTCCACCGCAAGATCATCTAGAGCACCACTTTCTAACTCAAGAAAAATGCACGGATAATACAAATTAACTTTCCGGAAAAAATTTAGGTTTTCGTCTCAGATTATTTTTCAAGTTTTGCCAGTTTCTAGTTACATTACTCGAATTACCAGAGTCTGTAATAGCAAACTGTATCCTTGAAAGCAAATGAGTGCAATTTAATTTTTAAAAATAGAGTTTGTTTTGCATCCTGCAACCAAGAGTATTTTGTATTATGACCTAACGGTCAAAGCATGTAATGACTCATCACTCCGACTTTTGAAGGTAAAGAAAATTTTGTTATACAAGAGTTGTGATTGTTCCAGAACCTGTGAGTCGCAGAAAAATGTTATCCCGTAAGTTTTGTCTTTTGTTTGAAATTATGCTGTAACGTCAGTTGTTTAATTCTTTAATACTATCAAATAAAAACCGTAATTTTATAATAATTAATAAAAATTAACCTGGAGAGGCGAAATAGTCTGGATTTAACCTTAAGAAGTTGTTTTATATCTAAAACTCGATTTACAGTTCTTTCCTTTCAATTCTGAGGTCGTGAGTAGATGTAAAACATTCTTTTATACAGCAACTTTTAAGTTTAGAATCAAATAAATTAGGTTTAAACTGTGTCATGCGGATTTTGCAAAAATAAGTTTGAGACTTCAAGCTTCTCTGGTAATGGTAACGGTTTATCTCAATCGAAAAATATTTTCAAAAAGTTATGGGATTTAAATTTCTTCCCCAAGACTGACGCGTTCGGGACAACATATTTTGCTCACGGGCTCGGAGAAACAGAAAAATTTGTCCCACAGGATTCTACATGGTTGAGGCGATCTATTACGCACGTAAACACTTTTTTTACATATTTTGGACACGTACTTTTAGTCTAAAATTAGCACCTTATAAATCATACCACAAACTTTTTTTGACAAGAAAGTGACTACCATTAACGAAGACAGAAATTTTCACACAAAGCTAAAATATTCTTTATCGTATTAATTGTAAGAGATTTCCCGTTTTTAGGCTCGTTAGTACTAAGTAATCTATGTTTACATACTCTGGTTTGTCTTCTTTGATCATTGATATTAATATATATCGATATAAAGATTGATAATTACTCTTCAACAGATAGAGCAAGTGACGAAATTTAAACTGGCTTTCTTCACCGTGTGGTGTTTTAAGTTTTGTTTATTTTATGTTTAATCATTGTTAGTGCATTTCATCACAGTATGTGAAGAATTATGAGCTTGTTTATTTATCATAGTAGTGAATAAAATATACCTTTTTATAAAGTACGTTTATTTTTTTGAATCCCTTAAAAATGTTTGTTTACGTTGTCAGACAATATAGTTGATACTGTCTTTAATTCAGTTTTATTGTTAAATAGTACTTTCTCGCGAACACTTTTTTAACTAATCATTTTACCCCAAAAATGGATTCCTTCGAACTCTGAATGGATCATGTGGAGAAGGAGTGCCATTTCTTTGAATACAACTCTGTACATTATATTTTTATTGAACTATTGTACATTGATTCGATTTGTCGTTTATTTCTCCTATTTTAAGTTTCGTATCTATCAGTACACATGTCAATAGTACGATTTTCTGAAAGAAACTGATACATATTAATCAATTAAAATGTTATAATAATGAAAATTAAAACGTTGTAACATTTATTATATGTGTTTATTATCTGAATTTTATAAAAACAAAACGTATGAACAGTTGGATTAGACCACCTACTATGAAAGAAATTAGGTTAAGGTATTGCGCAATTTTTCAAATATTTTCATTGGTTCTAATTTATTTTATTTACTGGTCTTTTTACTTTCGTTCACTGTGAGCGAGTCAGGACTAGATCTATCTTGATCTTGTTTGAAGCTGCTTTTTTGATACTTGCTGGAAGACGGACTATTTCTATTCTTTCTTTGCTTGTATTGTTATAAATAAAATTTTCGTTGTCCCAGTTTTCTATAAATTTTATGGTTTTTTAAATCAATATACCACTTTGAATAAAATTATTTCTTGTTTATAAAAGAAATCCTTTCTTGTTTGTTGTTTGCTTTGGTTTTTTGAAGATAGAAATGTACTAAAGAAAAATTCTAATGAAACCAAGAGAAAAACCATAAAGCTAATCTACACTTTCGACTGAAGAAAATATATGCCGTTGAAATTGTGCTATTTGAGAAATTTGTCTTATTTTTTATGTATTTTTCTGTTTGAAACTTGCCATTGTTTAACCAAAGATGAATAAAACCAGCTTAAATCTTTGCTATCTAAATGATTATATTAGTGTTTTCACGAAGTTGCATAAATTACTTTAGATCTGAGTAGTTTGTGGGACAAATTTAGTCTATTTTTGTATAATAAGTAACGATTTAACTTCTTTTTTTTATAGATAATGCAACAACTGCACTATTAGTCGTTTGAAGTTAGACGAAAAAGTGTAACACTGTACCGACAAAAGTTTAACTGTGCCATAGTTAACTTTTGATTACAATTTTCAAGTCATTAAAGAAGCGATTGATAATATGATTTCTCCGTTCAAAAAGTGTCTTGCAAGAAGCAATGCCACACTTTTATCGTGACAGTATCACCGTGTTAAGGAGAATGAATTTTGGCAAGATGATACCGTGATATTTCAATGTTCGTGATTCCTTTCCGCTCGCTTACCAAGAAAAAAAGAATTTTTTTCTTGTTTGCACAGTAAATTCTATTATTTCTGTTGAACACTGGGAAAGATCATGTAAATAAGTCATATTTTAAGAAAAAAAGATTACAGTACTTTAGCCACTATAGATTGTGTCTTTGGAGCATTTGAGAAATTTTCGATGAGATGTTTTTCGAACATCAATTTCACACATTTTTGTCACTTTTACGTTTGCAGTTGATACGGATTCCAGGCAGCGTTCAAAATCTCAAGGTTGTGGCAGAAGTCTGCTCTTCAAATCTTTGACATCTAGTCTCTGTTGCTGTAAATGTTGTTCATTGAAGAGACTTAAATGATATATACTCCTCAAATTTTGGATGTATTTCTTCAAATGTTTCGACTTATTACTAAAACTACATCAATTAGTATGCAAATAATAAGAGTATGAAAAATTTAAATGTTTTAACTTCAAAGAATCCTACATACGCCACTGAATATGTAACTACTATTTTTTAATGTATTTCTGAAATACTTTTTTTTACATATGTTCCATTGTAATTGTTGTTGTTATTTTATTACTATGATTTTTCTAAATTCCATCTTAAATTTAAGATCTTCATCTAAATCCTTATGTTTTTGAATTAACCTTTTTAATGTGATCTTTAGAAGTTATAGAACTATTAATAATGGCATTGTATCTACGCATGCACTGTTCTGACCACGTAAAAAATATAGTACACAGAATTTTCTCCATTACAGTGTTCATTGTGGTTTAAAATACTTAAAAGTTTTCATGATTTTCTCATACTCTTATTATTTACCGTCTGATGTAGTTCTAGCAATAAATCGAAACATTTGAGAAATTTTCAGAAGCAACAGTATTTAACTATGATGTTATCACTATTTGTATATAAAACACTCAAAAAGCTTTATCAACTTCTTGTTCATATTTCAAATTGAAGCTTCTTTTTATTTTTGTGTTTTGTTTTATTCAATGTGCACTGACGGTAACAGTCATAGACGACGTTCTGACTATTCAATATCCCTTGGTTATTATACTAAACTAGATGTAAACCGTCTTTCTTGTTTCCTATTTTTGTGACATTGTTGTTACACAAATATTTATATGCTGATTCTAAAAATTTGTATTGTTTAACCGTTATTCGCATCGTTGATATCCGAATTATTAGCATTTGATTTATATCCCTTTTATCCTGAACCTATTATTCAATTCACAAAGGCGAGATACTTAGATTTGAATACTGATTGTCTACACTCATAATTTCTGTTGCTTTAAAAAGTCATTCGTAGTTTGCATTACCCGACCCGTGTATCGCAATATTGACCGGTTGTGTTATGCTCTCATTAGGAAACATTACAAAACAAACTAGAATATGTTTGTGTAATGAAACAATCCACAATAAAATGATATTTCTTCTTCGTAAACGTTGGAAATAATATTGAGCTTTTTACCTCTAAAAGGCAACTTTTTTACTTGTAAACAACAGTATGCTAACTTCTAACATTTTATGTGCGATTATTAGAATTTTTTGTGAAATTTAAGTTTACTATTAACTAGTCACCTTTTAAACTTGTTTGATGTATCTCTCTTAGTTTTTAGATTGCTTTAAAATAATTTTATAATTAAAATGAGCGAAATAACAGATCCAGTGCCCGGTGAATCAGCTCCATTACCTCCTTTAAATGCAGAAGAAGTAAGTGTCATCATTTCTTTCAGATATTAGGTTCGTGTCATGTGTATATTTCTTCAAGGTACGGCGAAAACGTTTAGAAAAGTTTTCCACTTCAACAAAATCGAGTTCTGATGTAACATCGTCATCACAAGCAACTGACAGTTCAACAACTGATTCTCTTTTAAATTCCACTCAACAGTTATCAACTCAATTATCAAATGATCTGGCAAGTAAGTTGAGCTCTTTGATTAGTTTCCTCTGGTACTAACTTAGTCATTGAATGAAGAACTACATTTTGTTATTTAGCTTGTCGAATTAATTCAGTTGATTCTCAAAATGTTAATAGTGCATTAGCGGGAAATGATGATCCCGTATCCATGGATGTTACAAGTAATGATCAAAATAATAATGAAACAGTAACATCTGAAACTCAGTCGAATTTCATACCGTAAGAAGAAAATAATTAGTTCCGTATATGGCTCTGTTTTATGCTCTAATCTTTGTTTTTAGATTATTACAGTCCCAACAGTCAAATACCGGAGATAAAAGACAGTAAGTTCTTTGTCGATTATTTTATCCTGGTTATGGTGTGGTATAATTATTTTTGTTTAGAAGAGAAGTATCATTAAATTTGGATAAATCAGATTCTTTTATTTCTAACAGTGATGCACAATTATTATCATCAGAAGATGCAGGAATTATTAAAAAACGAAAATCAGAGGTATAATGTTACTTTTTGTTTTTAGAAATAATTAAACATTTATTTGTATCTCATTTTTAGATGCAAATGAGTGAAGAACCCATATTAAAACGTATTGTACGTGAACTCTTATGTATTAGTGAAGAAAAATTATCGGATGCATCATTATTTTCATGGCTTAGAGATTTATTCTCAAGTATGTTGCTTTACCTTACTTAACAATTTTATTTCATCGTTGACGAAAGTCATAATCATTCTGGAAATGTGACACTTTTTACTACTAGTGGAATGACAACATAGTATCGATTTTCTATTTAGATACAAATCGGAATCCAAAGTCAACATTGTCTGATGTATTTCTTCATTTGATGTCTGGTCAATTAAAAGCGGAGTTAAATTTAATAATACGGTAAAATAAAATGAATGTACTATAGGAGAAAAAACATACAAGCATCATATTTTTGTTGTTGTTTTCGTTTAGCTATGATACTTATTTTTCAATTGATAAACATGATTCTATTCTATGGTATTTGACTCGTACATATTCACGTGTTGATGATATACAAAGGACCAATTCAGTATGTTTATCCTTCTTTTCTTTTTCTTTTTGATTTTTATAAACACTCGTTTTATATATGTGCATGTTTATAGCAAGAAGAAACTGAACTTGTCAATCATTGTCGTTTATTATGTGTACGTTATACAATATTATATCTTTTAGAAGGTTCATTTTTAGAATCATGGTATGTTTATCATTCTTTGTTATTAATATATTAGAATAAGTTTGAATATTTTTATAGGAATAAAACATTAAAATTACTTGATATATTTCAAGAATATCCTGAAACTTTGCTCACACCTTTTATGTCAGAATTTATTTACATATCTTCTTCCAATGAACCAAAAATGATAGTATGTCATTTGTTTTTCTATCTCTTTACATAGTATCTTATTTTATTATCCAAATTCTTTTCTTTTCTTTTTTTGTTTATTAGAGTTGTGAACGTTTAATTCGTGCAATATTATATCGTTTACGTCAACAGTGTTCATTACCCGAACAATATACTCGTTTATTACATATATTTGTTATATTATGTGAATATCGTTCAATACAAAATAAAAATGAACGAATTGTTTGTACATATTTAACAACATTAAATGATTGGTTACCAAAAGTAGCATTAACAGATGGACGAACATTACAACGAATGTCATTATTAGGTCCCATATTTAGTATATCGTGTTTTGCAGAAGATGATATTGAATTATTAGTATCTCAATTAACAAATATTGATAGTGAAAGAGCATCGGCCGGAGAAAATGATGATGATGATGATAATAGTATCAATGTTTTAGAAAAACATATTTGTGCCACAGTACAAAGTCAATTGAATAAAGCACGAATTTTAATGCATAAAATTGTATTAGCATTCTTTTCCAATGTACAATCAAGAAGTGCAATGTTAAACTATTTACAAAAATTTATACAATGTAATTTAAAACGAAATTTTATTCAAGTAAGTGAGAAAAAAAAATGTATTCCATATTATTTAGTATCAATTTATTTTTCAAATATTAAACTTAAGATAGGCTTTCAATAAATGTGACAATTAATGCATTATTTCAATTTAATAATCATCATTTACATTGAGTATTATTAAAAAATTTTATTTTGAATAAGAAATAAAATAGATAAATAGTAGCAAAAAATGAACATAAAAAAAAAAAAGAAACGATAAAAATGTATCACATGAAAATAGTAAATTATTCTATTTACTATTTTAGTCTGATGAAAGTCGAGTGAGTGGTGATGGTTTTATGCTAAATTTAACATTTGTTTTACAATCATTGGCGTTACCAATTGATGTACAAAAGGTATAGTTTCTTGTTTTTTTTTAATATACTTACCTACTAACTAATTAAGTTTTATTAGGTTGATATTAATTATCCACATTTTGCCGATGATAAGTTATCTATACCAAAAGATCAATCTCGTCTTCATTGTTCAACAGAAGAATATCGAACATTTTATGATGAAATGCGTAGGTGTTTCACAAAATGAAACTATTTTTTGTATAATATATTGTTTTTTTTATGTCTTTTTTTTCCAGTTAAACCGCAAGAAGTAAAATTTACGACAGAATGTTTATTTTTGGCATTACAATTGAGTCATTTTGGTTTAATATCCATCACTCGAAAACCACAACGACGAAATAATGCTATTCGCGAATTAACATCGTACGTAATCGGTGTTTTTATTATATCTTCTATTGTCTAATCTAGTTGTTTATGTTTCTATATAGAGCTATTGAAAATTTACAACAAACAGAAGAACAATGGAAACGATCACCACGAGCAGCACAACAGCAAATATATTTGGAAAGATTAAAAGTTGAATTAAAGGTTTGTAAATAGAAAAAAAAGAAAAGAAAAAGCTTTTCCTAGAAATATGCACTACGTATTAAATGTTCAAGGAGAGAATAAAAAATCAACATAAATATCACCAGTATGTGTAGATAAAACGAATAGATTCTAATAAGCAGTAAGTGGTGTTAAATTTTGTTGTTCAGGACCGGATGAATAAACAGGAAAATCGAGTATACGTGTTGGCTCGTTGTAATTAGCTAAAAATAAAAAAGATATATTTTTAAATTTATTTTTAATATTTTGTTATAGAGCTGATAAGGATTTTAATAACTAATATTATAATAGGACGAATGTTTAGTATTCAATTCGAATAATTTTTTAAAATATTAGACTTAGAAGTAGCATCCATTACTACTTCAATGAGTTAAGTACAATAATCTAGAATATTCTGATTAATCTGTTAGTCTGTTAAACTATAAAATTCAATTGTATATGAACATATCTTTATTAAAAGTTTAATTAATTATTATGTATTACCTAAACGGAATGCTTCATCACTGCCTATTGTACCATCACCATATCTTATTCTTATACGAGATTGTAATCTGTTCATAAGATCTGCAGAGTTATATTGTGAATCACATTCTTGTTGTTGTTCTAGTGACAAAAAAACAAAACTCATTTAAAAGTTATTTAATTTAGCTCAAAATAAGAGTTTCTACTAACCTTGTTGAATTTGTTTATAAACAACTTTTTTCACTAAAGTTCGTCCTGGCACACAACGGCAAGTGCAACAACATGGTTCGACTTGTCGAATAATTTTTACTCTCTGCGGTGGTGGAGGAGGTGGAGGAAGTGGAGGAGGTGGAGGAGGTAGAGGTGGTAAAAGGTGTGCCGGTGGTAGTGTGAAACAGACAAATTCCGGTCTTAAATGTGGTGGTAAATGTGCATATTTGACCGTTTCTGGACACGGCACTGTGCACAAACCCGTTTGTGGGTCAAGTCTTGCATCATTCGATGTTGAATTAACATATGTTTCATATGAACGCCCATCGCCTAACGGACGAAATGGATGTTGTATTTGATGATATGGTAGTCCTCGACTGTGTAATTGAGGTGGTACAGAAAACGCTCTAGACATTATTTTTTTCTTTCCTAATGGTCTTTGAAAATTTTGTCGACGAGGTTGTTGATTACCAATTAATGGTAGTATTGGCTGAGAATACGTACGATGTCGTTGCTGACAAGGATGTTCCAAGTTAGTTTGACGATAATGCGATAATGGAAAAGAAATCAAATTTTTCTTTTGTATTTCTGACGACGGTGTATATGCAAATGACGCTGATTGGGATGACGTTGGGAGTTGTTGATGTCTTGATTGTGGTTTGCACGTATTACTTTGTTTCGTCAAGGTGAAATCATTGTCTTGTATACTTGAATTATGCATCGGTTGACTTATTTGACGGTGACGATGATGTTCTTTATCTAATATCATCGTCCCGAATGAATCAGGTCTAAAACTATTTTGTTGTGGCTTTTGTTGTTGCCAATGTTTTTGTTCTGGATGATCGATTATTTGTGGTTTGCAATAAATACCTTGCTGCTGTTGTTGTTGTTGTTGTTGATAATGATGATGAGGAGGAGGAATATTGAATGATGAGATTCTAGTGCTATTTCTAGGGTCTTGTTGATATGTATCGCGATGCACAGATGGATGAGCAAAATTTTTTTGATAATTAGTACAAGGCATTTGAGGATAATCATTTTGTCTACGTTGACTTTCAAAGCATTGTTTTATACAGTTATTGATATCAAACGGTTTTGAATAGTCATGTAACCTTAAATCATTTTTCACTTGTGATAGGATGGACGATGAGTGAGGTAACCTCTGTTCTTGATTGGAACTAACAGTGGATGATTGATTTGCTTGTCCTACACTTGTTTGATTCAAGTCATATTCAAAGTTTTGAGTGGGATATCGCGACTGTAAAGATCGACTTCTTTTTGTTGGATGAATAAACTGCACTGGTATAGAAACAGGTTCGGTACTACAAGATTCTGCAGATATTGGTATTATTTTCATTTGTGATGACAAGTGTCGATCTTTCATTTGTTCATCTTGTGGCAGCGTTATGTCTGTGGGTGGTGGTGGAAAATCTTTCTGTTTGTCATATAACCTGGTGCTTGTCTGCGAGAAATGAGGATAGAATGTTGATGGTTGAACCTGGCTTGGCTGTGATGTAATTGGTAATTGCAAATTATAATTGTTTTCTATGGAACTCGGATCTATTAATCTTCGGTTTTCATAAAAAGGTTGAACGCGACGAAATTCTTCTTGTTGAGGGTAATAAGTGGTGCAATTGTTTTGAATACTAGTTTTGTCATAATCATGAATTGGTGGTGGATATAGAAAAGGGATAGCATCATCTAGTGTTTTTATGTTTACGTTGTCTTGAAGAAATTCGTTTCTTCCGTCGGATATAAAGGATTGTTGAGGTTGGATGTAAGTGTTAGAAGATGGCTGTGAAGCATAAAAATCATTTGTATTAGTTTTTGTCAAATAATGGTTCACATAATCTTCAATATTTGATTGTGACTGTGAATAATTTGTGGTTGTTGAAAAATGTGGATCTGTGATCAGTTGAGATGTGTTCGTCGGCAGTTGATGCATACTATAATCGCGCGCTATTGATATTGATCGCGGTGGAAATTGAATTCTTTGTTGTTGTTCAAAGCTTGGTTGAATAGATTCATTCAAGTCATTTAATGGTGGTACTTGTTGAATGTTTTCATGAAACATAATTGTTGATGGCTGATAGAGATCAGTTTCAAACTGAGGTGGTTGGCTTTTGAACTGATCCGTGTAGCCGTTAATACTAAACTTTGATGCATTCAAGTTGATTCGTCCGTCTGGTGGTTGACCTACGTGGTCTTTGAATTCACGTTCAGAATCTTTAGGTATCGACGTTGTAGCCTGTTCAAATTCGAAACCTTTAACGTAATCTTCAATATTGAACTTATCCAAGTTTGAAAAAGCACGTGCTTCAGATGGTTCTGGCAGTTGATCATAATTCAAATTGTTTATAGACTGTGAGGTTATTTGATCAGTTACAGATTTGTCTAAATATGAATCGGTATTATATTCTGACACATCGAAATACTGTATATTTTTATCTACGTTATGGGAAACCACGGATGAATCCACGATGTGTGTAGGTATTTGATCTGCATCTGATATTGATTGCTCAGTATTTACAGGTACTATGAAAGGCTTGATCTGTTCTTCTTCAGTCACAAAACGACTTATATAATCATTAGCATCAAACTGGTGTGGCAGTATTTGCGGATAACGCTGCAAAATATCTGTTGCTGTATGATCTTCAGGAAACGATGGTAGTTCTTCCCAACGGGTTGGGTGAACTGTGCCTGGTTTTTCGTTAAATACAGGAAATTGATGAGGATATGAAACATTTGTTGTCACACCAGCTGTATCTGATGGAAATCTGGGAGTTTCAGTTGATTCGGTTAATCGCGTCGCTTCTCCCGACTCATAACGTCTCAAATAGTCATTCACATCGAATTGTTGTTCGCTTTGGACAGGAAATTGATGAGGGTACGGAACATTTGTTGTCACACCAGCTGCATCTGATGGAAATCTTGGAGTTTCAGCTGATCCGGCTAATCGCTTCGCTTCTCTCGATTCATAACGTCTGAAATAGTCATCGAATTGTTGTTCGCTTTCGTCCGAAAATTGATGAGGGTACGGAACATTTGTTGTCACACCAGCTGTATCTGATGGAAATTTGAGAGTTTCAGTTGATTCGGTTAATCGCGTCGCTTCTTCCGACTCATAATGTCTCAAATAGTCATTTACATCGAACTGTTGTTCACTTTGGACAGGAAATTGATGAGGGTACGGAACATTTGTTGTCACACCAGCTGTATCTGATGGAAATCTGGGAGTTTCAGTTGATTCGGTTAATCGCGTCGCTTCTTCCGACTCATAATGTCTCAAATAGTCATTTACATCGAACTGTTGTTCACTTTGGACAGGAAATTGATGAGGGTACGGAACATTTGTTGTCACACCAGCTGTATCTGATGGAAATTTGAGAGTTTCAGTTGATTCGACTATCCGTGTCGCTTCTCCCGACTCATAACGTCTCAAATAGTCATTCACATCAAACTGTTGTTCGCTTTCGACAGGAAATTGATGAGGGTACGGAACATTTGTTCTCACACAAGCTGTATCTGATGGAAATCTGAGAGTTTCAGTTGATTCGGTTAATCGCGTCGCGTCTTCCGACTCATAACGTCTCAAATAGTCATTCACATCAAACTGTTGTTCGCTTTCGACAGGAAATTGATGAGGGTACGGAACATTTGTTCTTACACTAGTTGCATCTGATGGAAATCTGAGAGTTTCAGTTGATTCGGTTAATCGCGTCGCTCCTCCCGATGCATAACGTCTCAAATAGTCGTTCACATCGAATTGTTGGTCGTTTGCGTGATGAATTACTTGATGAGAAGGAAACGAGCTAGGTGTTGATATTTGTTCGAAATGTGTCACTGACTTCTCAGATTCAGTTGGCATGATGATGCTCTGCTGGTTAGAGTGTAAATGACTCGAGTAGTTGATAGTGTCGGATTCTTGTACATTTTGATTTGTAGTTTGTTGGGAAAAGGGCATCGCGGTAGTTAGTATTTGATTCGACTGTTGAATTTGAGTTGATATTGGTATTTGCGTTGAGTTATCTGATTCAAAACGATTTATGTACTCAGTCATATCAAATTGTTGCGTGTTTTCATTTGGTATTTGATGTGAATAATAGTTACGATGATCTATACCAAAATTAGTTTGTTCTATTGGAGCATTTTTTCTTCGTTGTTGCGATTCTAAGCAACGTTTTATACATTCATTCATATCAAATGACCGTTGCATGTGTTCATTGAAGCGTAATGGTTGAGGGTTTTCTTGTTGAGGAACTAATGATGAATGACCCATATAAGATGATATGTATGGATCACTATCAAATAGTAGTGGTGATTGTTTACTTTGCTGTTCTTGCAATAATGAACTGAATTGTTCATTAAACGGGAACGATTGACTCGAACGAATATTTTCGTTGACAACAGAAGGAGGAATTTGATTAGTTCCTTCTGGTAATATTCGTTCACTAGAGTCGGGTTGTTCAAAAAATAATTTGGAATGATTTATATTCTCATCTGTAGAAAGTGGTTGTTCATTCGCACATTTTTGATAGAGAATGTCTTGTTGAGGAATTGTTGAATAATGTTGGTATTGAGTTTGGTCAGTCGGTAATCCGATATTATCACAGACATCTGAGCTCGTCTGTGGTAGTAATTGATCGAGTGTTTCTTCCGCTGTATGTTGTTGAGAAGGGTCTAGATCATTATTTATTTGACTAAATAAATGAATCCGCTACATTAGTGTGTTTGATTGTTTATGTGTATATGTGTGTATGTGTGTGTTTAATTAAGCAAATTTTATTTAACTACGCCAAAGAAACAGTGCAATACAAAAACTTTAAATATATATCCTACATGGATACAAAAACCAAATAAAACTAAAAATCTAATTAAGCATTTTTTTGTGTGTGCACATATTGTGAGTGAGTATGTGATATTCTTCTAACCACAGTTCTGTATACTATTGTGATATTTGTAATGCCTAATCTTCAAAAATTGACCATTGGCCTGAAACCGAAAGCTGTGTATGAGTATATATAGTTAGCAAAACTATATCTGATTGTGACCAAGTAAACTTATTATGGTACCCTCAGTTTTTACTGCTATAACTAATGAAATAAGAGCGTGATGATGTTTTTTCTACAAAGTACCATTTTATTAGAGCTACGTGAAGCAGAACGATGTGTTTGAATGTTTTATTTCGTGCATTTATGAGACATACCTGTTTTGACATCTGTATCTCGGTGGCGGATGACAATCTAAATAAAAATAAAATGCATAGTTCCATTTTTCTGACTGAGATGTATGAAGCTCATGAGCTGCATACTTGGAGGAAAAGAAGTCGAACGACGCCCCCGAAAATTTGCTGCCGCCATTGCTTGGTGATCTCTTAAGTAATCTCCATTTAATTGGCGATATATAACTAAAAAAGTATAATAGTCCAATTTACACAAAGCAATAATTGTGTTTCAACTTTGCCTGTGTTTACCTGGTCGCTTGGCTCTATTGCCTAATTCAGCACGTAAGCGTCGCAGATCGGATCCATGTATAACCGTTGGCTGAGGAGCCGATATGTATATTGGTGGTAGTGGTTCTAAAAGATTACAAATAGATTGGGTATACATCTGTGATGTACACTAGCAGACAAACTTTTACCTAAGTGGATATTACCGGATGTCTGATCATCACCATGAAGACTTTGCATAGATTCATTGATAACTTTTGTTTGTAAATTAACTAGCACATCGTTGACAAGTGCTTGTGGTACTTGTATAGCTTCGATTTGTGCCGGAAAACTTGGAATACCCTGTGGCCTTGGAGGACGAATAGGTCTTTGAGGCGCAGGCATTCTTGAAAATTGTTGTTGAGGATATGTAGACGGTAATACAGGTCTAACCGGTTGTCTTATTGGCACACCTTGCGTGTAAACGGGTCGTGGTGGTTGCTGTTGGTATTGTTGTTGTTGTTGTAGTTGTTGTACATTCACATAAGGTCCAACAGCACTGTTCGGCGCGTAACTTGTTCCTGTCGTTGAAGCTTGTGTTTGATGAGATGATAGAGTTCCACCTTCTCCTGCTTGATGATGTCTTAAAAATAAGTTGAGAGAAAAAATCGACCATCGAATAAAGTATTTATTAATTATCCTTACACATAAGAAGAAGATTGTTGATACTTATCTCTTAAGAAAAAAGTGATGATGTTTCACTTTTGATAACAAGATTAGACGATAAATGGTCAATATGCGAAAAAAAATTTGTTATTCATTTGAAGGTGAACTAAAAAACGACCGTATGTTCATGACCATGACCAATTACACGATATTAATAAAAAAATTTCATTTATAATATTGAACGCTAGGAGTTAAAAAAGTAATCAAAAAAACTTTTATCACACGTATACTCCTACGATATATGCATTTTTCATCTTACAAACAGTTATGTCATCATAATTACCATCAAGGTGCTCATAAAACATTCAGAATGAAAAAGTTCTCTGCTTATAGATGAGTCTTTACAGCGAGTTTTGCTCTCTTGGAAAAGTATAGCATAAAAATACAATTTTTAGTTCAAATCAAAGCGTAATTTACCTAAACGGCGATCGACTTGGCGTCTGTGCATCTGGAAAATATTTTGACATTTCAGCAGAGGAATCGATACTTGAAACAGAATGAAATGAACTCGTCGGTTGAACACCTTGGTATGGATTTTGTCCTGTCGATGGCTGTAAATGTTGCTGCTGCTGTAAATGTTGTTGTTGTGAATACTGTTGTTGTGAATATTGGTGTTGCGGCTGTTGTTGTTGTGAATATTGCTGTTGCGGTGCGACTTGTAATGTTGGTTGTGGTTGATAGTGTTGTCCATAAGGTCCGGCTGCTATTTGAGGATTAATGGATGTGGATTGTTGTTGAGGCTGAATATTTTCAGTCTCGCTTTCGTGGTGATGGTGATGATGAGAACTATGGTGTCGATGATGTTCCACAACCACTCCCTCTACTGGTTGTACATCATATGCTAGAAAAGAGAATTTTTTTCAAACTGATTGGCATCATTGGAACTGATCAGAAATGAAACGAACCTGGTATCGGTTGAGTTTGATCCATATTTGACTACTTAATATTTTTAAAATTATACAATTATTGGTCAGCAATCTACTGTTTGTACAAGCTCCCTTTTTTTCTCTTCATGTAATAAATAAATGAATCTATCCTTACTCAGTGGACGTACGCATTTATCGTTACACTTTATTGGTCATGCGCGCTGAGATTTTTTTCTTCAGGTGTCTATTTTCACCTGATACTATATTCTGTATGGCTATTCATACCACAATATAAATTGACTGACAACTACATAGTACACTATCTTTCTCACCACAATTATATATTTGCTTTTTCTATTTTTTGACAACGAAAAAGTCACTAAAAAACAATATCCTTGCATTTCAACTAAACGGCAGGACGAACATGGACGAACATTTTTTCTGTACCCGAAGAAAAGAAATGTGCCTGGTTTATTCACGAGAAGATCTAATAGTAGAACTAAATTAAAAGATGACTCATTCTCACAGATACCTCTTGCGACATGTAGTCTATATGTTTATGTACAAGATACATAGAGTATTATATAGTTTTGACAAACGGCAAGAATATTGTTCAAGGATCTTTTTCATAAATTTGATTACACAAATAGAAACTCGAGGTAATCATTGACTCATCCTAATTCGAAATGAATTCTATAACTGAATTTCAAAAGAAGTTTTCAACTAAAAAAATTGTGACTTTGAGCCATGATTTCGAGAAAGGAAAATTTTGTAGAAGAATTTTCTAATGTAAACGATATTGAATCATATATAAAACAAGACAATGTTTCAATGAAACGAACTGAAACAACAATACTTGGAAAAAAATAACATATCGATGTACTCAGACTAGAAAATATCCTGAATTTGATATTCAAATTTGCGTGATGTATTATGATGATGACAAAATGGATATTTCGACTTCCAGTGAACATAATCATGATAACGTGCTAGTACAATTCGTGCTTCATCACCGGTTAGAGATATTGTCAAAAAATCAATAGCCGTTGGATTAACTCAATCATAAACACGTCGCACTGTACAAAATTGAATATACTGACGATGTTCCAAGTACACAAGTTTCAAGGTTATTAAATTATCATCGTTGTCAAGACCGAATGTTCGTTCAATTGATGATGATTTTTCGTGTATGGTGTCACCAACATTCCTTACCATCAGACCCAGCAGTAATTCATACACCATTTGCATCAAAATTTTTATAGAAATTAATAAGCTAAGCTCTTTCTCCTAAACAAACTGAACATCTATTTATTACAATATTCTTAATCTTATTAAAACCGGGCACATATCTGTTTCCGGGAACAAAATATTAGAAAAACAGTCAGCCCCTCCCTCCTCCCAGCTTTCTCTGTTTTGTACACATAATAAATAAGTGTATCTTACAAATGATTTTAATGAAAGATTGATGTTCAAAAAAACAAGAGGCGTTAAAGATTAACTGATAATATAACTCATTTGATCAGCAAAAACTGAGTAATATCACCATTTATCAATGAAAAATGTCTTTTTTTTCTCGCTGTAACACAAATCAGTGAGTATTTATCTATCTATTAAACGTCCGTCGTTAAATAGAACGTTAATTATAGTGATATCATCATATTAAAGTGTAAGATAACTAAATGATGAATCTGATTATTGAACTGAAGCTTCACTCTTTTTCTGAGTCCAAAATTGAATCTATTATTATAAAAATATTTCGTTTTGATTTTTTTTAAAGAAATTTTAATATCCAAAAAAAAAAAAAGAAACATCCCTCCCTAATCATTGTAGTATGTATACTATCAGTTTTACGAACACTATAGACAAAAATTTTAATTTTATATTATTTTGTCGGCTTGAAAGTATGATCTCACTTAAAAATTTTCAGTCAAAATACTTATTTCCAAACAATCTGTATCCCAAATGTAAACAAATCATATTGCTTTTTTGTTTTACGAAATTTTAGAAAGTAGACAAGTGACTTGTGATTTTTCTAAACATGTCGTATTGATTGGAAACAACATTTATTGTTCTGTATAAAAAGTCTAAAAAAAAAGATATTGTTTATTAAATAAAACAGTGCTAACTAAAGTGTAAAATGAGAAAAGAAATGTTTATTTTTCTCAAAAAAATTGTCAAATTGGATTCGTGTGCTGATCTATTTTCATTGTCATTCCAATTTTCATTCGTGTTACATCTGTTCAAATAGATCAGATCTCTATTCAAGATAGAACACAGCGAATCAAGCGTATATATGTATATATCTTTTTGTATTTGTTTCTAATAATGAATATTATATCTATTGAAAAATATTATAAGAAATATTTTTTTCTTAATATATTTTAGTCATTAAAAAAAGCAAAACAATGTGCCAATGTGGCATTACATGATCCAAATTTAATTGAAATTTCTCTAGAATTTTATGGAAAAGTAGCACAATTGTTATTACGCTATGTAGGAATATCATCACCACTTGAGTAAGTCTAGACTACGTTTGTTTGTTCTTTCAATAAAAGTTAATATTTTATTTATTTTTTCTTCATTTAGAGCTCGTCTACCACTAGCATTACAAGGCCAAATGTCATGGCGTGCATTACCCGATTATTATCTGGATGATATTTGGGATTTTTTTCTCACAGCAGCCATGTAAGTCAATTGATAATGTTGAGAATTTACAATATATTATGTTAAATCTTTATTATTTTCATAGGATGGTACCTCAATGTTTATCAAAACGAAGTATCGATGATATACTCACATTAATGTTAATTGCTGTATGTAGTCAAAATTATATTCGTAATCCGTATATTGTGGCAAAAGCTGTTGAAGTGATGCATTGGCTATGTGCTCGTAGTGATCATCCAATACTACGTAATGCTACAGAATATTTATTTAATCATTTATTGGCTCAAGAACATCTTGTTAAAGCATTGACAAAATTATATGCAGGCATGTATTGTTGTTGTTGTTGTTGCTGTTATGTTTTTGTCAACAATGTTTTTATATTAATAAGTCAACAAAAAAAAATAAAAAATAAATATATCAAATAAATTTAGACGTTGAACGTACTGGTGCATCGAGTGAATTTTATGATAAATTTAATATTCGATATCATATTGAAATCATATTCAAATATATGTGGCGTCGACCATCTTTTCGTCATGTTTTTATTACAACAGCTAGGTAATTGAGGCTGACTAGAGTCAATTGATTATGTTTAATGATTAAAATTTTTGTTGTTTGATTTTAGAGATGAAAAAGATTTCATTCGATTTTTAAATATGGCTATTAACGATGTTTTATATTTATTAGATGAAAGTTTACAATTATTGAAAAAAATACACGAGATTGAAAGTGCAATGGATCGAAAAGAGGCATGGGAAAATATGCCATCAGTAAGTTTATCAACTTTAAATGAATATAATAGACATTACTTTTTCCAGGAATAAAATAAAATGACAGTTTGATCTATAATCTATTTTTGAGGAATCACGTATGAATAAATTACAACAACTGAGTCAATTTGAAGGACAATGCAACACATATTTACCACTTGGAATGGAGACACTCAATATGCTTGAATATTTGAGTGGGGATGTACCAAACCCATTTTGTTCGCCAGTAAGTCTTCTTCTTTTCGCTTTTTTATTATATAGTTTCGTAATACATCGTTTATCTAAATGGATATTCTTTTTCTAGGATTTAATTGATCGTTTAGCAGCATTTTTAAATTTTAATTTAAATGAATTATCCGGTCCCAATTGTATAATGTTAAAAATTAAAGATCCATTAAAATGTTCATTTGATCCTAAACGTTTATTAGAAAAAATTGTTGGCATTTATATTAATTTGGTATGTATTGGTGTGTGTGTATTATATTGAATTATAATTAAAGTAAAAAATATACATTATGTTTCTTTGTTTTAGGCACATGATGATCGTTTTGCCGAAGCTTTAACACGTGATGAGGTAAATGATAATAGACAATAATTAACTAGAAATAAAGTAATTCTTTTGTTTTGTTTTATTTTTAGCGTTCATATCGTGCTAGTTTATTTTCGAGTGCTATTGAAAAAATTCAAAAACGACATATAACAACATCATCCAGAATGGAAACATTACTACAATTGAGTTATCGTGTAAAACGTATTGCTGAAGAGAAAGCACGTGAAGAAATGGATTTATCTGATGCTCCCGATGAATTTCGTGGTATGACTATTATTTTTTTGTGCATTTTAAGAAGTTTTATTATAATGAAAAATAATTGAAATATGAATTGTAATATTTTCTAGATCCACTCATGTGTACAGTGATGACAGATCCCGTTTTACTTCCCAGTGGTGTTGTGATGGATCGTTCAGTTATTAATAAACATTTACTTAATTCACTAACTGATCCTTTTAATCGTCAACCATTAACCGTTGATCAATTAATACCAGGTATGAAAAATTTTCTAAAAATAATGATTTTCTTACAATCACTAGTATCATTTATTTATTTATTATAGCTACAGATATCAGAGAACAAATTGAAAATTGGATGAGAGATAAAAAAAATAGAACAGTTTAACACTATTGATTATTGCACTTATTTATGTTAATTTTCTCGATAACTTATTAGTTAAATGATGAGCTGAACACTTTTTACCTCTCTCTTCTTCATTTTGATACTTTCTGGGTTTTTCTTTTTATTTATTTAATTGCATCTATTCTATATGTCTATAGAACTACATGTACATGTGTGTTTGATATTTTTTTATTTCATCCGAAACTATCGAAGATCATTTAAATAACACAAACAAACACGTTTTTTTGTAAAAACTTTACTCTTTTCTCTCATTATTGTTGCTGTTGTTCTCTCTTCTTCTTCTTTTTTTAAATAGCAAAAAGACAAAGAAAGAAAAATGCTGAAATATGCAGAAAAAAACAAAAATTCTTTTCTTTTAATAAAAGGTTTGTCGTCGTAGTCTTTGTGCATAATTAAGACCCTTCCCTATCACACATCACAATTTTCATTGAAAATATCGATTTTTAGACAATCGTATGGTGTGGTAGCCCAAAGTTTCCTCGTTCGATTGCACTGATCTTTTGTGCCCCAAAACCACGTATTTAGGACTTTCAGTAAGTTTTCTAAACTCTCTAAACGATAATTACATTAGTCAAAAAAGTGAGAGCTTTAGAAAAGAATGCGTTTTGCAGACAAATACCTTTACGGCAAACATGTGCGCATTAGACTCCTGAGTATTCCTTTACCAGGTGTTCCACCGTGAATGTATGGTAACATTATAGGTGGTGTTCCCCGTACGAAAAAAGTGTTCCACCTCATATGTTAAAGACGACACGGTGACATTATAGCAGGTGTTCCCCGTAAGAAAAAAGTGTTCCACCTTCTTACAGATAGAACGCAATAGATAGAGTGATAGATAGGTTGATAGAAGTGTTCTCTTAACAAAAAGTTGAAAAACACGAAAAATGTTTCACATTCATGATAATTTTGTACGATAATATCGAACATCATTCAAAATAGATGAAAACATGGACTTATGGACAGAACGATACCAGAATTCGGCCAGATGTGAGTTCAGTAAGGTTGTTCCTCGCATTGTTCTAAGAATCTTTGTTTTTGCGTGGCCCCATAACGATTCAATAAGTTGCGTGTGGTAGCCGGTCTGTGGATCGATAAAATTTTGCTTAAAATTTTACTTCTCGCAAAAAGTTTGTCCAATCGACCACAGTCGTTTCTGTGACATGTACCAACGTGGCAATTGTTGACGAAGACGTGCCCAAACACCACAGTCATATCAATTCCAAGATTGTCCGTATATCCAGTTTCGAATTTGGTGGACCCAATGCATCAGTAAATGCGAAGAATGTGTTTTTACGAACACTTAATTGATTTCGATATTGTCGGATAGATCTTGGCCGTACCATCTTTGAGTGTCGTCTTCCTTGTGCCATCGGGCATCGGTGAGCCACAGTGGCATGTATGTTCATCACTTTTTTGACCCAAATTTTGGTCGCGAACGAATTGAGATAGTAAATTATCATCATTTAATATTTTGTAAAGTTCTCGGTTGCCAGCAGGAATAGCCATGATTGTTGTGAAGAGTTGTAGAATGAGATATGTCGGAATCTCACTCTTTTTATAGTTTAGTTCATACCACATTTTTTATTACTTGAGCGGATCAAGTAATTAAGGGATCCAATTTGTCTTTTGTCTCATTATCTGTCTTTTAACTTCTATCAATCGATGTTCTTTTCAGCTTACATAAAATGAGATAGCTTCTTAATTACACAGAAGATAGTTTCTTTGATTTATCAATATTTACTTTAATCCTATTAGAAAAGATTAGAAACGGAACATTTTTCGTGTTTTTCAATTAAGAGGAACACTTCTATCAAGAAAGAGATCAAATTGGTCTTTAATTAAAGGTAACAGTTATGACAACAGCGTACAAAAGCCGGATTTTTATTTCAATTTTTGGTTTTTGGATACTCCGATTTCTTACGGAAAAGATTTTTTTTTATATAAATTTCCATAGAGAAATATTTAAAATCGGATTCTTGTAAATCGTTTCTATATCTATTTATCACATTTCCAAGCCAAGTCGACCTGTCTGCTTTTAATCTGACGAGGAAATTTTATAACTGATAGATGCCCCATTTTGACCAATCTTTTCGGCATCAGGCCGAAGGCTGATAGATGGAACGTCAAAATCTATACTATAACTATTCGTAAACATGACCAATATTCCTTGAAGTTTCTGTTAAGATCGAACTAAAACTGACTGGAATAACTTTTTCAGCAAAAGAGGACGTAATGAACACTATGCTGTGATGTTGAATGTATTCAGAATTATTCTCATAGTCTTCTTTAAAAGCTATCGGTTGTACAATGTCATTCATATGCATACTTAAAGTTCGAAAGGTGGCTTTTGTAAAAGATGGCAGCACATGTCAAAGACAAGATCAGGAGTGGATCCGTAAGGCTTTTCTCTCATCTATTGTCAGATATCCCCTTTAGTCATCTTTAGTGCTCGTGATGAACGGATTCCAAGAAAAAATGTAGAGTTTGGCGCGGTTCCGTCATTAATTCTTACTGCTTACTTTCACAGCCAATTGTTTTAAAAAATTGACAAAGACGAATTTGTACATTGGTTATATGTGATAGGTGTGTATATGGAAGACTGCTTATTTAGTTCATTTTTTTAGTTTGAACATGTCCACGCCGTTCAATGAAAGTTATAGGCTTAGCCAAGGATTATTTGCTTTTATATTTTTATTACATTCTTGATCTATTAGAATTACTAAGGTATTCAGAAAAACAGCGCCCTCTATTTGTAGAAGTGCAATTACTTCGCAATTCTGATAGTGGCTAAAGAAATGACGATAGAAACTAAAACTCGATTTAATTCATGCTTATGTCTAAATCTTTCATCAAATTGGTTTTTTTCCTTCAAACACTAAAAAGTGACAAAATAAGTACATTTTTCATCTACGTGCATACTAATTAGACGGAAACAGCGTGATATTCAGTAAAATTGAAAATCAGTCTTTAACATTACGTATGGAAGTTGACTGTATTGTATCTGTAATCTGATGATATGTATTACATTTTTATTGTGTAGTTTCCCTGTGTTTTAGTTATGAGGCTGTGAGTATGATAATACAGCTAATCTGAGAATTTGTGTTATTTTTGCTCTGATGATTGGTTATCGTGCGAAACACATATGTAAAACACCGCTTGTTGATCTTATCGATGAAAGAAAAGAGTTATTAAAAAAATACCCAGATCTAAAAAAGAGTCCGAAAGACTCGTACATGCAGACATCCAAGCTTTGTTACTATTGTCTAAGCCTGACTCGAGGTGCCATGGAGCTTTTGTTTTGTTTTGTATATGTTTTCTTTTACAGCACAGAAAATTAGACAATTCAAAAAGTTTAGTTTGGAATTAGCATAGCGAAACTTGTGACTATAGTCTTTTTATTTTATTTTCCGTCTTATTTCAGATTAAAGTGAAAAACAACCGAGAATGAAACTAGTACGTTTTCTTATGAAATTAACCCATGAAAGTGTAACAATAGCACTTAAAAATGGTTCGAATGTCTTTGGTACAGTTATAGGTGTTGATATGTCAATGAATACACATTTAAAATCAGGTAAAAAATTATAAGAATAAATTAATGTGGAATTTTGTTATTAAAATATACTGTTTTGCGAAAGATGATAAATATTGTTTTCATTTTGAGTTGACTATCAATAGTGGATTTCTCTTACATATATTGTTATCTTAAGATTTTTCTAATGCCTGTAAACTATCTCGAGCAATTGTTATCTTTGTAGCTAAACTGACACCGAAAAATGGTGAACCGATTGCATTAGATTTTATTACGATACGTGGCAATAATATTCGATATTTTATATTACCCGATTCACTACCGTTAGATACTTTACTTGTTGATGTGAGTGGACAAGTTAAAATTGTTATCTAATACATCATTGAGTTTTGTATTTTTAGGATACGCCAAAAGCGAAAGCCAAACGTGAACGTCCAGGTTTGTGCTTTTCTACTCGTGTTGAACTGTATGTACTATTTAAATCTCTTTCTATTTTGAATTAGGTGCTGGTGGTAGTTCACGTGGTCCGAGAGGAAGAGGTAAGATTACACTTTTCATGTTTTTCTTTAATAATGCTTTATGAATATTTCATTCTAGGTCGTGGCAGAGGTCGTGGAAGAGGTGGTGCTTTTGGTGGCGGCGGACGTGGTCGAGGAAGATAGATGCTTTTTTTAAAAATACATGAACAAATCTTTTATTTAGGCAAATTATTGTCAAATCTTTATGGTTTTTCCATTGTCTTTTTTTCTGTTTTTCTCGTTGATGTCAAAAAAAAAAATCAAACAAAATGCATACTGTTATTGATGTCCACTTTGATATATATGTGTATCTGTTACTATTGTATAAAACAAAAACATTTAAGAGTAACACTATTATTTCTGAATCTTTTTATCAATGAATTGTTATCTATCGATAATTGTTATAGTATCAAAATGCATTTGGGTAAGATTTATTTACTTTCAAATGTGCTGCTTCCCGTCGCGTGTTAAGGTTTATTTAAATTAAACTATGTGATACAAAGACTGACTTCTTAAGATCCGATAAAAAGCATCTAAAATCTGCCGGCTTCGTTTTGTAAAGGGAAAACTTATTCAAATAAAAAATTATTTTATGATCAAATTGCAGAAGAGTAGCGAAAAAATCTTGGAAAAAGTACTCAAAAACGACGATTTATGAAAAAAACGTCAAAACAAAATTAAAAAAAGTTTTTTCTCAGCGGTTATAATTTTAACATAAAAATAAATAAATTAGAATGTAGTTACTTAAAAGAGCATGACAAACGAACTAACTAGTCTTTTTTAGTTTTATCGGAGGACGATCGAATGAAGTCAAAACAAATTGTAGCTTTACAGAATTATTCATTTCATTTTTCACTATTACATTTTGACATAAAGTATTCGATGCATGTTTTGTGAAGAATTGAACGGGCTATCTTTTGCAACAACAAGAAAATAAGTCCTATGGGTTTCGAAAAAGTCGAGAATTACAAAGAAGATAGTTTCTTCTGTTATACTCGCCCCATGTACTGCGAACCTTGGGATACTCACAATGCTCATATTGCATAGTATTGGAAAATCTTTTTTTTAACTCTTTTCGTATTATAATTGATTTCTTTTCTATCATCTTTGTTGGAAAATATAAACAGATAAATTTTCATTTCGTTTATTCTCCATGGTATCATCAAAGCTAAGATACTGTTTTTTTTTTATTATTATTTATAACTTGAGAACTATTATATAATCAAAATCTAAGGTGTATATAATGATCTTTACTGATTTAGAGTTTAATCACTCGTTTGGGAATTTATATTTCTACTATGATAGGGAGTATATGTGTATATGCTGCTTTCATGGAGAATCATCACAATAAGTGATTATATTACAATTAACAAAAGAAAAATTGTACGTTTGTTCATCTAATAACTATGTGTCATGTGATTGTTATTTTTGTACAGGTAAAAGTAGAAGCAAATATAAATTTAATTTAAAAAGATACATAAATGATTTCTGTAGGGACAAGAAAAATTGAGCATTTTTTTTTTAGACAATAGGGACAAGGAAGAACTTCAGTGTAAATAATAAACTATTTTTTTTTATATTTTTGATAATATGAAAAATGATTATTGTAGAATTTATGAGTTATGAATATTTTGTTAGCATCATTGATTTGAGTTTACACATTTGACTCTGTTGATATCATATCTATTTGATGTATGACAGATTTGAATCGAATTGCTAGTTATATATATATTTTATTGCTCAAATATCCTTGAGATCTTGTCCTACTATAAAAATAATAGTCGTTATAAATGATAATACTCAATCTAATATTATGTAATCCATAGCTTATTTTCCCACCAGTTGTTACCAATATATTATTACTATTCATTCATTACAAAAATATTGAACTTTGATTTTACAGCATGTGTTTTAGACGTATCTTTACACAATTAACAAATTATCGAGAAACGAAATCACTTGTAAAAATAAATCATCTAATTAGAAACTATGATCATGTGCATACAATCAATAAAATTCTTTATATAAAATACTGGGATGTATAGACGAGTGAGAGCAAAATATACAACAATTCATATTTCTAATGACAAAAAAAAAAAAAAATGAATTGAAAGAGAGTAAATAAGGAAGTGCTGAAAATGTGACATATTGAAAGACTTTTAATGATAAAGAGATGAGATGATGAACGGTATTTCTGAAAAAAGTCGATATAACACTTTAACATTGTCAATATGATATTCTTAGGGTTTGGTTTTTATAATCGCTTAACTCAAGTAATTTGATTGACTTTTATTGTATTAACAGTTAATAATTCTTTTATATTTTAATTGATTCAACTTCTAGAAAATTATGTGTCATATATTCCTGAATATAATAATTCACAAGATCGGATAGAAAATAGAAAAAGAAAAAATGTCATTAATTATCAGTAAAAAAAAAAAAACCGAACTGAAAATGTTAAATACTCAAACACCCGCAACTCTTTGTTCATCAATCGAACGATCAAGAGGGAGAAAAGAACAAAAGAAAAAAATTCTCTAATGGTTATTAAGAGAAGAATTGATGCTGTTGAACAAGGATTTCTGGTGTCATACAGAGAAAGAGAATAATAGAAGACAAAGTTCCAGAGAGAAGGTTAACAAACTAATAAGAAGAAAAAAAAAAGAAAAACAAATGTACAAAGTTGACAATAAAAAAAAAGTAGATAAAAAAAAAAATGATGTGAACAGGTGTAACGACACCATCGAGCAGTTGCTCTGAATTCAACATCTGAATGTTAAATTGACAATTTGTTTCATATTCTAAACAAAATTCCAAAATTGTTTATAGACAAAGAGAGAGTAACAAACTGACTCACGCTTGTTATTTAATAATGTATAACTTCGTAATAAAAATGTCTTCTTTATGTTTCTTCTATGAGGTAATAATGACTCTTGAGCCTATAAATCATTCTTTTTAATGAGAATATCTTTTAGTTTTCACGACATGATGATATAATTGATTGCAACAATACGTAATAATTAAAGATCGAGAAAAAAAAAACCATACTTATTCATCTTCCATTTATTAATTTATTATATTTTTTCAATTTGATCGTTGATGCGACCACTAAACAAAAGGTTAGCAAAATATAAATCCATTTGATAGTTCAAAAATAAAGAAAAAATTTTATATGTGTGAAAAATTGACTTAATATCATTTAACTTTTATGATCCATGAGATATTAGGGAAATCGAAAAAGGAATTCAACTAGTAACAATAAAATTATCTACTTATGTAATAGGATTGAAATCAAACAAAATTTTTCAAAATACATTAGATATTTTAATAAACGTGACTATGATAAAAATAAGAATTATTAAATGGTTTACATTCGATATGAGAAATGTTTTTTCTTTTTTGTGTAAATTTGAATTTGTGTGTCTTCATGTACGATGTGCTATCTACATCATTTAGTTTAAACAAAAAATGGTATCTAACATGAGTTAAATGAAAATCTTCATATATCTATTTTTTTCTTCTTTTACATTTTGTTGTTTTACCCATTCAGTCGAGTCCGACTCTTGGCGATCCGATGAATCAGACCTCTCCACGTGTTTCTGTTCTTGAAACGTCGTTAGTTGTCTGTTCATTGAATTTTCTTGGTAAGTATACTGAAGTGGTTTACCATTTCTTTCTTCAGCGCAGTCCGAGTTACTTCGTTGCGATCCACTATCGCTGCTGCCCGATAGTTTCTGCGTACGCGCATTAGCCTTAGTGATATCACTAAGTTTATCTCCCATACCACGCAGAGGTTGCACGTTAGAAACTAATACAGTATCTTCAAGGAAACAATGGAGAATACATATTGATAAAAAAAATTTCAAATAACTATGTTTTGATTAATTATTTGATGAAACAATCCTAATATAAAAAAGTATTTAAAATTTTCATTTGAGTCATAAATTCTGTATGATTGAAAATTTTAAAATATTTCAACTACAATAAATTGGAAACAAATTTGAACAATCATAAGCATAAGCCAGTAGGCTACACGAAGCATGACCACAACCAAAGTTGACGAAATTTTTGGAATACTTTAGATTTGAGTTATTAAAAACTAAGGCCGAACTATTTATATAAGAAAACGTTTCATCAATGCTGTCTACAGAACAGAAAATAATATCCGGTAGTGTCACAATCTCTAGGAGAGTCAGAATGTGACCGTTTCCTAATAACTGAAATATTTTCTTTCTTTTCTTGGCAAAAACAAAAAAAAAAAAAGCCTTGATAATAAAATTCATATTATTTTGATTAAAAATGGTATTAATTTTCACCAAAAGTCTGGAAGATCACAACTGCTCCATTAGCAATTATGGATATAGAGATAAAACAAAAATGGCTTTGTCTATGACTATAAAAAAATCTTGTATAGCAAAAAAGTTATTAGCTGTCATACCCATGGTATGATACGCGATATGTGTGTATGAGTCTTGTTCAAAATATGTTTTCTTTCACAAAACTTAGATTATAGAATGTTCATTCTGAAAAAAGTATTATTATTCAAGGATGAAAAGAATCCGAAACTTTTTTCTCTTTTCTATTTTTGTCTTATTAAACATATATCACATTTGATCTAAAAGTTTTGTTTACCAAGTTTTTCTTTACTATTTGTTTAACAAATTGTGACCGAAAACTTTTGATTGACAGATAGTACTGATTAATTTTTATAGCATAAAAAAAAAAAAAAATACAAAAAACTTTTAAAATAGAACCTTGTGTAGATCCATTTTATTGTCTAATACGCAACGTTTTTTCGCTCGTGTCTCGCCTTGTCTGTCAGTGATTTGTCTAAGGGATTTCTTACTAGCATAAATGTTTTATCTATGAGAATAATACTAATAATACTAATGATATACATATTTTCAAAATCGGTGTATTCAACAATTTCCTTATAGTTTGGACTAGTAGAAAGAAATAGAACCTCTAGTGATTCGTACGTTCCAAATTCATCTCATTTCTTTAAATAAACAGCGCTTTACGTATGATAGAAGGTATCTCTGTTTTTATTAGTTGATCTTTTATTAGACAATATTTCAACATAAATTTGTTTATTTTTACTTCATGTCGCATTTATTCAAATAAAATTGAAATTAATTTTGTAC